TACCCTGGCCTGGAGGCTGGAGGGGGCTTTGAATATTCTCAATACACCTAATCACCTATAGTCTGATAAATCTTTGCGAGGCCCTCTACTTCTTTAGCAATTCTTAATATTTTGTTGTAGACTAAATGCTCCACCATTTGGTGGTTGAAAATTTGCATGCTTTTGAATCTTCCAAATCTACAACTAGTTATCCAATGAGCACACTTTGATTAGGTAAACCATGAGTGACCCATCCTGTTTGTCACTCATTGGCGCAAATATAGCACTCCTGTTCTATTCTCCAATGGCATTAACAGAGGGATCACCAAGATAGGCCTTAATATCTTCACTAGAAGACAATAAGACGGGAGGAAGATTTCCAAATCGTGTCAATTAGGAAAGTTCACTAGACCCACCTATTTTTGTTGCATGGAGGAACCCTGTGGCCAATCCAGATCATTCATCAGGTATGGATCCAATCAACCTATACCCTAGGTTGTATTACAATTTGGTTGGAGAAACATCACCTTAAACTTCCAATTCTTTTTTATTTTAAAAAAAGCACAAATAATTTGCCTATAAGGCTCAGTTTGGAAGGAATACAAATACAAATATGTACAATGCAAGTACATACTAAATAATGCAAAATTCAAGGTTTTGCACTCTACAAATTTGTATTTGTACTCTTTCCAAACTGAGCCTAATGGATATTTGTTTCTAAAGAACACAGTAATGCCTCCTAATGATGCTGACAAGTGAATTTGTTATGTACTAGTTACATGCTAGTGGACCCAAATGACACCTTGTTCAAAACAATATACTCAACCTCATGGAAGATCGAATTCTATCAGCCTATCCCAAAGAAAAATGTCTAAAAGTTGTTAAAAAATGATGTAATGTCATGTTAAGGTAACACAGAAGAGCAATGAAAAATTGAAAATATCTAGTTTTTATGACCAATCTCAGAAGCATCTTAGGAATACCTAAGTGTAGAAATTGTCTTATCAAAGATACAAAGATTGCATTCACTATTATGTTGCAGTGTATCACTTCTTCAAGCTGGCCTATTTTATTCATCATCCCCTGCTCAAAGACACTTGATGCACCCTGCATCAATATATATTTCAAAATGTCCGCTGCATCTATTAAATGCTCAAATCCATCATTTAGAACAAAATTATCAAGTTTGTTAGCTCTTTCCCGAAGAAGACCCCATTGGTAAAAGAGACCAAGCTATAGTTCTACAACCCTTACTACCAGATGGACAGGCATTTTTATTTATTTATGCATTAACTGATCAAAAAAAGAGGAGACAACCCTTATACAGTGAACTGTTGTACAAGTATAGGCAATTTCAAACAATAAAAGTATACTACACACAAAAAGTTAAAGAGCATGAGAAGCTTTACTGTTCAAGATCCTGTTGTTTCTTTCCATCCAAATGCACTAGAGGGTGGCTGCAGGGATTAAGTACCAAGTACCAACTACCAATATGCCTTGAATTGGGGAGGCAGATTGTGGCCCTACAAGCATTGAAGGGCTTCCAGCATTGATCTCGGAAAGACCCAGATTTTATTTAGGCAATTGAGAAAGTGAGTACATATCTGGAAGCTGACTTGGCAGTGCAAGAAAAGATGGACAAGAAAAATTAGCAAGCACTTAATAGTTGGTACAAGGATTAGATGATGATGATGATCATATGTTAGGGGTGGGGGGGGGGGCTTCTCAAGTATTTGGTTGAAGATAGGCCTAACACATGAGATTTGATTCCATTACAAGTGAAATTTGCTTGAAACAACTTAAATTAACCAGACCTATCTGAACCCATAAAGTTGGGACAAGGCTTAGATGATGATGAGACAAGTCAACCAAACTACAAGGCAGTCATCAACTGAGATTTCTTGAGTTCCCAGACAAGACAACTAATTGGCATAGTCACATTACATGTCCACCATAAGCTATATGAGTTATGAAGGCCTGAAGATTTTGTCTAGCAAATCCTGAACAGACATGGGGAAATCCACCATAAATTAGCCCTCTATGTGATTGGCGTCTGTCCAAGGTCAACCTGCATTCTTACAATGTTTGGTTCAAAGCATTTTTTTTTCTTTTTTTTCATTTAGTAACAAAGGAAGGGAGTTACAAAAGACAGGGAATAGCATGTTCCATTAAGTCCTCAAGGATTTAGGCCTGAGCTCAAGGAAGGGGGGGGGGGGGTTCAAACTTCAAAGCAAATTGGTAATTGGTTTACATTTAGTCCTGAGCAATATCAAAAAGACAAGTATCAGATTCAGTAAAATAAACTCCAAAAAAAGCCTAGCCACTCAAGATATCTAGTTATAAACTGGGAATAAATGCTAATCACCTAAAGATGCTTAATGATTTGTAAATCAGATTGGTTTTCAACTTTGAAGTTTTTCTTTTTGGTGACCAACAACTTTGAGGATTTTACTGTATGTCATCACAGCTATCTGAACATCACAAGTTGAAGGTTCTAAAGAGGTTTTAAAAGGAAATGGGTAAGGACAAGAAGATATCGTTCTCATACACAAGAAAACATACCCAGTATGTAAGTATGTACATAAGCAAGCTGCTTCATAGCAACCACAGGAAACAGGTTTTGGAGCTCATCTACCAAATCATAAAATGGTATATTTTGGTTATTTATGTACCAAAGAGAAGGTATAAATACATGACACCTGTTGCTTACCCCCAAAAAATGGTACTTAAGGAGATCGTGATCAGATGGTCATGTAAAAGAAGGAAGTGTACATACATAAATACACAAAAGCAATGGTCTATGTTCTTGAATTGCACCAAAACATTATGGCCATTGTGGTGAACACAGAAGCTTGTATTCTGCACCATATTCTACAGTGGGTCCAATTAGATGGGCATAACAGAATTGTTCTTTTCTTTCTTTCATCTGTATGTAAGTGAAAAAAAAACCATAATTCCCACAAGATAGTCAGTATCAAAGATGGATTTATGCTATAGTCCCATTGCCAAAACACCCAACCCTCTTCTTCTTGGAATATGTGCTTAGAGATTTCATGAGTTTGAACCAAGAGAATGGAGTTCTTACCACTTGCTGGGAGAAGAATCTACAGAAAAAATAATTAACCTCAGATGATGTTTGATCTCATTATTATGTATTTACACAGAAAAAGGATCTTCTACACGTGAAGTTGTCTAGACAAAAATGTCCACCACCTCTTTCGCTCATCTTATAGACATGGTCTCTTGCATTTGTCAAAGAACCCTATACAGCATGACATATCGTTATGCAAGTATATTCATTGAATCAATTCGAAGGCTGTTACCCAGTGTTAGTCCCAGTTATCAGGGGTAGACTGGATACAGTCCTAAACCTTTGACATTCTTTTTTCTCAAACTCAAAGCCACATTGTCATGCTTTCCAGCCTGAAATTTTACCATTACACCAAGTAAATGGTCCCGGCTATCTGTTCAAGAAATTAACAAGGAAAAAAATAGGAAGGGAAAAACGCGTGGTTACCTGCCCTAATTTTGTAATGAAGTTTTTTTTTTTTTTTGGCAAGGATCAAAGATGCAGTTGACACATCTCCATCAGCCTCCAGTGCTTGGGCAATGGCAAAGGTCCCATTGTCCTGTTTACATATATAAAACAATTAAGTGGCATAAGAACCTATTGCCTTTTATAAGTGAAAACAACACGCATGATGTGCATACTCCAATTTCATTAAACCCTAGATAAAGAGAAGTTAAAGCTTCATTAATGACTTAAACTATGAGCAAAATAAATTGCACCCTGCAAATAGAAGTATAAACATCAATCAAAGAAACATAGGAGGAGAGAGAAACTATCTAACACCAAATAATGATAATATTTCATTCATATACACCTATATCATCTCCAATTCCATTGGTGCGCAAATCTAGAGCAGATATGGATGTTGATGGTGTGCAATCTGGCCGGTCTTAGCTGTTAATGACCTTGCCTCTGAATGGAATTGCGGGGAACCTGAAACGGAGAAGGTGAGGAAGCTCCGGGGGGAACCCGGTGTGGAGGCTCCGAAGCTCAAGTTAGAACCCTTCAAAGGCAAGATAAAACTAGATAGCACAAAATTTGCATACCTTGTTCTTGGGGGTAGGGAGCCTTTTATAGCCACCTCGTGCACTCACTCCTAAGCTTCTGTCAGGTCGGGTACGATTACCTCTGGTCTCTTGCCAGTTCGGGTGTCATCCCCTCTGCTGGTCAGAACTGCCACTGCTCCCTTTTGTTGGAGCTGTCTCTACGACTGGCGATGACGGTGGCAGGTGGCGSTGGTAGGTGACCGTTGAAGTGCGGCTGTCAAGCGTCAGATCACAAGTCAGTCAGATGCGCCGCCCTTAGATACAAACCTCTTTGGTGTCAAGTATGGTACGTTTGTTCAATTCGGCGTCTCGGAGGCGAAGTGCTGGAGTGGCGAACGAGGTGAAGTCTTGAGTTCGGATAGGGGAGTGTCCCGAACTGCCATGAGGTGGGCTAGTTCGGGTCACTGCCTTGTGTGGCTCGGGGCCTAAGGGAGAGTTTGGGCTCCTCGTAGGGAGGTCGGTCTCCTCGTAGGGAATTCAAGCTCTTGGAAGGGAGTTCGGACTGCTGGTTTCTTCCCTTTGGTGCTTGCGCCCTGGGTGCGCTGTTTTAAGTGCCGAGCTATTTGCTTTTGCCACGTGGAGTGATTGCGAGGTCGGGCCAAATCTTCCTTCATCAGATGTATTATATTTCAAAATATTTACTATGAACTATGCACCATTTGCCCTATATGCTGAACATTCAAATCTTTCATTCTCAAAAACCACTGCGATTTTGGATCAATAACAATCAAAAGCTGTGGATTGCCTTACACCAGCCAAATGCCAAGCTTGAGGGTTTCTATCTTTCCATGAAACTCTTTGACTTCATAGTCGGAAGTACATGCTGGCAGTCTGTAATTTGCCTTGTAATGAAGGGTGTTTTAGTAATTATGACATACATCATATGCCATGTATGGGCAAAAATACCCCTGATGCTCAGCCACATCACGCTTCCACAGATCGGAGCTCGTTGTTTGCTTGGACCGGTGATCGACTGACTGGTATCTCTCCTCTCCTCTCCGTAGGGCGTGGATGCATGCACCTGAGTCGACGCCAACAGTGAGGAGAAGAACACAAAGGAAACAGGCGCCGAAAGCATGGGTGCAAGAGATGGGATATTGGGAGGCAGAGATGTCGAAGAAGGCAAAGCAGCTTCAAACAGGCGGAGGTGGTTGAAGAGTCGAGAGAGATGGCTCGTGGTTCTGGGCGTTGTACTCCACGCTGTCTATATGCTCAGCATCTTCGACATTTACTTCAAGACACCAATCGTCCACGGCATGGATCCCGTCCCCCCTAGATTCACTGCCCCGGCCAAGCGCCTCGTCCTCCTCGTCGGTAGGTGCCATTTAACTCAAGCATCTGTTCGCGGATTTGTCTCAGAAGTAATTTTCGTTTTTTCTTATCTTATTCTTGTTCTCGTTTCTATGCGTGTTCCGCTCGTCCCAACCTATCGTAACCAAGTGGAATTACAACAGAAATGAATCTGCATCTTCTTGTTATTAATTGCATATAACACATCAGAATGGATTGCAATATATAGTCCAATCTCGTTTCCTGTTTACAGAATTAGCTTGCTAAACCTGGGTTGTTAGATGGACTTTAGTAAGCCAGGATGCTGGTATCTTCATTAGTCGTGTCTCAGGAATCAGGATTTGTTGCTGACACTACTTTAGGTCCAAAATGTGGAATTGCATTCTTACTCTGCTACCTTTGCCATGGCCTTTTGCTAAAGCTAAATTGGTCAAGAACTTGTTATTTCAAGTGCTTGTTGGATTTTATCAGTTCATTATTATTTTCTAATAATCGTTAAGTAGTGATGTGCTTCGAATGCTTTTGCAGCGGATGGTTTACGTGCTGATAAATTCTTCGAGCCGGATTCGAAAGGACAATTCAGAGCACCTTTTCTAAGAAATGTTATTAAAGGACAAGGTCGTTGGGGAGTATCCCATGCTCGTCCTCCAACAGAGTCAAGGCCGGGTCATGTCGCAATTATTGCTGGCTTCTATGAGGATCCTAGCGCGGTTACCAAAGGTGTGTCAACAATAGTGCAATTTTATTCATTTTTTTTAAATTGCATTTGAGACCAGAAGTTTACCACCTAAAGTGGTTTCATTATAGGAATTTGGTAGAAATTTGGGCAATGTCAGTTCAGGACTTTTTTTTTTTTTTCAATATTATTGTCACAATAATCCACCTTGTGTGATGAACTTATGGGTCGAAAGATGAATACTTGAAGTGAATTTATTTCATTGTTTGGACTACTATAATGTCTTGAACTACTTCGTGAAGTGTGTGCCACCAAATTGTCAGTTTGGTCAGGCTTTACTTTTAGCCTGTATCATCCACACTTATTTTTCAGAGACTGCTTCAATCACAAACAGCTTTCCCCCATCAGTAAAAGACAACATCAATGCTAATCTGGACGCTAATGATTAGAATTTCAATTGCTTTGTTCTGAATATTTTATGCTAAACATTGTTATTTTTTATTACATCTAACTTGACCATTCACTAAAGATATCTTGTGCATGTGCAGGATGGAAAGCTAATCCAGTTGAATTTGATTCTGTATTTAACCAGAGCCATTATACATTTGCTTTTGGTAGTCCAGATATTGTCCCAATCTTCTGCAGTGCCTTGCCACATAGCAGCTGGAATACATATCCACACGAGTATGAAGACTTTGCAACCGGTTAGGCTTACAAGATCTTAATGCAAACTCTTTTTTTTTTACACATTTTCAATAAATTGTTTTCTAAACTTGACTGCGTGAGCACTAGAAAAGTAACTCAAGTAGCTGTCTCGTGAGAGCTGAAAAGCTAAGATGCTTGTCATAGATAATGTCGTACCTTATCTCATTGACCATGGTTGTTTTTTAGTCTTTCCCTTTTGTTTCACCTTGTTGTTTTCAACATCTACATGTATTTTTTTTATGCCACAAAATATTTCCGTTTCCCTTATCTTTTTCCTTGTTTATTTTAAGTCATGTTGCTAAAACATGGTTTGTATCAGTGAAATTTAGTTTTTTGCCTTTTGTTTTTATTTGGAATTTGGGTTTATTTATTATTACCTTTTCTTATCTATATGATTGCAAATATTGTATAGCTATAAGAAGAGAAGGAAGATACAAAAGCCCATAGGTTCTAAAAAAAGGAATCTAGGGCTGCTCACTTTCCCATCTATATGTTTGTAAATATTGCAATTCTATATGAAGAAAATGATGATGCAAAAGCCCCTAGGCTCTAAAGAAAAGAATATAGGGCTGACCAAGCCCAAAGGTAGCAATGGGCTCCCAGTGCACATATATGGCCAAAAAAGGCTATTACCTTATGTTGGTTCCAGCTATCTGGGGTCTTAGGAGGCATGAACTGGATATAGACCTAACCTTTTGGAGATTTGAAATAACCAATCTGCATAATAGAACCTCAGTACAAATCTCTCTCCTTCAAGGAGAGGTGAGAGGAATTGCCAAAAGAGTATTTATGGAATTGGAAGAAAAGGAGAGGTTTAAGGAGGCTAAATCCACTGGTGAGGAGTCCAGCAAATAAGTTCAGGTGGTGGGGCGAGAAAATGAATCTTTTGGAGGAATTGAGGGGGTTCGAGGATGTAAAGGGGGGTGGGGATGTTGTGTGATGTGT